CCCAGTCCCAGCACCCCACAAAAGCTGTGCCAGCTGCCACCTAGGGGCCCAGATGGCAAGAGGCCCCTCACAAACGCTCCCCTCCCCCCCCACCAACTTGTGGAGGGGAATTAAGAACCCCAGGAGCTGCTGTAAAGCAGCCCCCTTACCTCCTCCGCTCCAGAGGGAGTAGCAACTGCAGGAACGGTGAAGTTCAGGCCTGCAACTGTGGAAAAAAGGGGGGCCAGGCAGTCCCCAAAAAGATGGAAAATGGGGGGTCCTGCTCCCCCCACCAGGGTGAGGGCAGCAAAGTCCCCCCTGTCCACCCCCAGCAGCTCCTGCAGCCAGCTGAGGGGTGGGGGTGTGCAGACAGAGCAGGCAGGCAGAAAGAAGAGGGGACCTGGCCCAGAATGTAGCCAGGGCCTGCCTGCCACAACCCCAGTGGCCCCCCCCACACACCCTTCCCAAAAGGTGGAGGGAAGGGGTGCAGGGAAGGAAAAAGCACAACAAGCCCAGACCAGCAGCCTGCCGTGCTCAGTGGAAGAGGGGTTCCCTTTCCACTCCAGTCAGGAGACAGAGCTTAGTGGAAGGGGAGAGACAGAGAAAGTCAGCAATCCTGGCTAATTAGGGGCAGCTGGGACAGGGCAGCTGCAAATAAATTAAGGGCCAGGTGAAGCTGATTGGGGTTGTCAGGAAGCATCTTTGAAAACCCTCCCTGCTGGTGGAGGGGAGGGAGAGTTGAGAAGGAGTTTGGAGAGTGAAGGAGTGGTTTGGAGTGTGGAGGAAGACAACTCATAAGGTGACCAGAGGAGCAAAGTAGAGCACTAGCAGCTCTGATAAAGGCTACAGGGAGACCCCAAACACCAAAACAAGGCAAGTGAATGTTATACTGTGACTCCCAAACTATGGGACAGTGGCCTGGCCAGGGGCCCAGGAGTGGGATTGACTCTGCCAGTACATACAGGGCTTAGTACAATGGGGCACCCAATCTTGAGGGACTCTAGGTGATACTATAATAGAATAATAATCACAACAGGTTCTTCTCCGCCCCCCCCATAAGAAAAAGAAGTCAGTGTATTTATGGTTTGCTTTATAAAAGTTACTATAATACAATGGTACATAGTATTCAATTCACAAAAATATGAATATATATACAGCATGACATCCACAAAAAAACACTTTCTTTAAAACAAGATACATACTGATGACAGAATCTATATGTACAAAACATCCCTAAATTTATAAACTTGCTTAACAAAAGAGAAAGCAGAAATCTTAACTCTTCAAAGCAGATTTAAATTTTTTTTTTTAAAAAGCAGAATTTTCATTTATTGCAAACCATTTTACCTGCCTCCTTTTAAATGAGGACCTTAACCTCCACACTGAGTTAAAACAACCTGTTTACAAAACCCTAGAAATAGCAAGGAATGAGGGCAGCCTTTTAGGGTTTGTTTTTAAAACTGCCAATTGTATTTAGAGTGTCCTTTACAATGTGTTTCTTTTCACTTGTACAGATACTACAATTGCAATTAAATAGGAAATTTATAAAAACAAAACATTAAATTGAAAAAATCCAGTTGCAGATTTGCTTTAATACATTTTAGGGTGTCTATTAATAGACTGTACACATTTCCTCACTTGAAATAAATAGATTTTGCACATTAGGTTTCAGACTGGCCCCCAAAAAAGCACACATGCCTCCACTTGGCATTCTTTTGTCTTCAGTTTCTTAATGCTTCTAATTTCATCTACTTATTTGACCCCCCCAAAACATTTACAGAATTTACATTATACAAAGCTTGACACAAGCTGTAAATGCCACCAGCTCCTTTTCTATATGCATTCCTTCCCCCTCTCCTGTCTTCCTGACATGAGTTCGAGCTGAAACCCCTTTAACAAGAGCTCCAAATTACAATAATACTTTTAATAAATTATTTACATGCTCTTGAAGTACAAAGAAATCAGCAAAAACAATTCAACATGTTTCTACAAGAAACAGTGTCTGAAGAGATTCTAAATTTGTCTATGTACAGAAGATGCATTTTTTCTAAACTTAAATTGTTTTCTTTTTTTTTATGTAGAAATGCACTGAAATGATCCCTGAAAGGTCACAAAACCTGGAACTGAATCTATTGTCAGAGTTTTACAATGTTTTTCTTGTAGAAATAAGCTGTTCTGTACAATAAAAATATCTGCATGATGAGCCCCTTGCCACCCTTGATAGTTAAAATTACTTACTGGGACCCAACATAGTTCTGGAATTGGAAAATATTGGTATAAAACTGACAGATAAATGAAGAACCTACATATCCTGCCTGCCCTGTGCAAGCAGAGGGGGCACTTACTAATGTGCACCAATTTCCAAGGCATTCACAAACACAACTAAACCCAGCTCATTCACGCTTGGGAACAATAATAAGGATTGCAACTACATTTCCACAACTTTTGTTATTTTAGGGGATTGTTTCACATTAAAGTCATCCAGTTAGAGGTGATAAAATTTAGCAGGAAACACATTCAATCTTGTTGTTTGGTAATGTAAGCCCAAGTAAAATTAAGGATATGGTCTTCAATGAAGAAAAATACTTCTGCAAATACCACCACAAAGAATGCCTGGCAAGCTTTAACTTTGGTTCTACCCACCTTGAAAACTGCCCACATTACAATTCTTTCCATCCATTTACAATGGGGCTTTAATGGCTATGACAACACCCAGTTTAGGAGGGCATGAGGCAGTGCCTGCCTTGGGCTGGTGTTTACACATTCTCTCCATTTTGCTCTACAATCTCAGGTTTTGTAGGGTACTAGCCTTCATAACTACAAAGAGTCATAAATGTGTAACTGCTACAGCAGCCCAAATACCTAGTTGTATCTACAGAGTGCCCAGACATTGCCCAACCAAGACCATATGGGTGACCTGCCAGGAATAAGACAGCTACAATTAATATGCATAAAATGGAGGCCATTGTGGCTGCTCATTTAATGTTAGCTGAGACATCCTTTGGAGACTACAAGTCCCACCATCAAATCACTCCATCCTGGCCCATTCAGAGGCTGATCAGTTCAAGATGGAAGCTTTGCATACAGGGGCCTGCAAGCCAAGATTCTAAAGGGAAAACAAACAAAGAAGCATGAAGTCTAAGCTCCATCTTTAGACTCTGAAATCCACAACCTGGTTTTTCCAAAGGTGCTGAGAACTCAAACACCCCCATGGCAAGCAGTTGGGTGCTGAACACCTCATAAGAATCAGAATAGTTATTTAAGACCCTAAAGAGGGAGTTAGGGATACAATTTTTAAAAGTGCCAGAGTGATTTAGAAGCTCATGGTACTTCAGCACTTTTCAAAATGTCACCCCAGTAAACTAATTGTAGTCTAATTTTTTAAATCTTGGCCAGTCTCTCTCTAGGCTGCTTGTGCATCATAAAGACAGAGGCAATTGAATGTGGTTACCTTATCATCCCTCACAATCCATAGAGGTTATAAGTGTCATAGGAATAATATTGTACATGCAGATTGGACAATATATTTGTAAGAAACCAACACTGATACATTAGTTTGAAGGGATAGAAAGGAAAAAGGCAGAGAAATTAATATGGGTTTGATATTCAGAACTTTAATTCTGAAACAAAGCTTTAGTGCATTCCCCAAAGCATTAGACATACCAACAGGAGATACAGTATGAATGGAAGAATCATATTAAAACAAATAAAGGAGCAGTTGACTTAATTCCAAAATTAATTCCTAATTAAGCTGTATTTATAACCAGCTCTCAAAGACAGAAGCCACTTATGCTTCTAATTTATGTCTTTAGGTCACAATATCGACATTTGATATTTTCAGAAAGCATTTACGGGGGGGGGGAAATCAACTAAACAAAATTTAAAAGGAGGAGAGACTACTCCATGTCCACTCTAAGGGATAATGTAACTATTCTCAGCTAGAAATGCAGATAATATTAAGGCAGCTTGTATCAGTCGTATGTTCCTGCTTCTCTGTGCCTTTTGGTTGAAATAGATACGAAGTATAGAAGTCTACCCCATATTACATGCTGTAATGCAGTCCTGGCAAATACATATGCAGTATAAATAACTTCTAAAAATCCTCACTTTCAAGATTCCAACTTCTGATAATTGACGCATGATCAGGCAGTAATTGTCACTTGTCAAAAAAGAGTACGGAACTCAGTTGTCCAATTTAAAGGGAAAAAAGATTTTTCATTATTGACAACATGTTTAGGTAATGTTACATTACGATTTCCCGTATACAGAATATTTTTAATGGCTCAGTACAACTATGTTCCACTTGTAAGCAGTAGGAATGAAATACAGTTTGAAAGACTGATCTGCTTACCTTCGAGGGGTCAAATATATTTCAGATACAAAATAATTGCCGGGGCTTCTGTCTCATTTGAAATGGAATCCCTAGTGTCAAGCCAAGGATTTCATTACAAAATGATAAAATATTTTCTAAAAGGAAAACAATATTTTTATTTGGAAGCTAAAGGTCCTTAAACTAATTTTCATATTGTACAGAGTTTGGGACAGATTGTGCTACCCTCACACACTTTGATTAATGCCTTAACTTCATAATTGGTCCTACTGAAATAAATGGGACTAATGCCAGGTAATAGTGTGAGTAGGAGTGGCAGAATATAGCTCCTTAGCAGTAAATCAGGAAGCTCACCCATACAGTGCAGAGCAAACAGTCTGAATGAAAAGGCATGAGGGAGGGAGGGTTAAGCTGCACATCAGGAGGCTAAACTGGAGAAAATCAACAGAACATGCCCAGTGGTTGGTTTCTTACAGGGAAAGAAATCTCAATGCCATCTTCTATGAACAGTTCCAGTAGTGTATGCTTAAAAGATAGTAAGACTTCTACAGCCTAAACAATGACTGTACTGATCATTTAATTTCAGCCTCAGTATTTTGAATGAAAGAAATAGATCCACCAGAAATACAGATACAGAAAAAGCCATTTACTAATTCACCTTTTGCAACAAAGGACTAAATAGCTGATTAATTATACAGATTGTGGTATTAAATATTTTTCCTGTAGAGTTATAGAACTATTGATTCCCTCCCCACCAAATACCAGCATGGAGTGTGAAAATTAAAGGTGAACCTACGGTGTTAAGTTCAGGTCTATTACAGATCTGAATGTTCCCCAGCATTCCCAGATGTTTGGGTCAGAGGAATTGATCAGGCCCATCTCTTATGAACTGTCCTGCCTTTTCATCTATAGTCTCACTGTACACACACCCAGGAGAACACACTTTTGCACCCAAGCCTCTGGCTTGCTCTGTAACATCAACCTTACTTATCAGCTTACTCTAAGTCTGCAATTTCAGCCAATCAAACTCCCAACAAAACTCTATGGCATTTTCAGTCTCTGCTTCACATTTAAATGTTGAATGTCTTTTTCAACCAAAAAGGTAGCAGCATTTATGGAAAGACAAAGATTTACCAAAAAAAAAAAAAAAAAAAAACACTAACAAAGGTACCATTATTGTATGATGAGCAACAACATAGGGACTGAACAGAGAAGCTAGTGTTCGGATATACTATGCCACAAAGTGGTAATCACCTTTTGTGTTGGATCTGAAGAGGAAGAGCACCTGAAATATGAACAGCCCTAGTATGCATGTGCACTGCTTGCTTTCGCTTGTGAACCTGACAAGTGTGAAACGTGCTTGGTTTTCTTCTTTCTTTTGGCAAAGTGCAACCACACCTGGTTACTGCAGTTCTGACATGACCAAAAGTGCAAGTGTGACGAGAAGCCTCGGGATTAATTCAGGGTCCCTCTGCAGTTCTCAGAGCCACACAGACATGGGATCTTTACGTCTTCGATCGGGAACTTATAGTCATAGGTAATTTCCTCATTCACATTGATGTGCTGCTTTGAGTAGATGACAATCTTCTTCTGAGACTCCACAGTGATGACTTTAGCATAGCAATTTGGCTGCAAGGGTGACAGATTGGGAAAGTGGTTAATTTTCTGAAAGTGTTAGATTTTCTGACTTCTTTAGTAGTTACTTAAATCAGTTGAATTGGGGTCACAGGTACATTCCTTGGGGTTGAGGTGTGGGGCTTTCACTTTCTCCTGCCATACTCAATTCCTCATTAAAGGGGGAATTAACCCAGAAACCAAAATACTGCCCTCATGACACCTTTCTGAAGGTATAAGTTTGCACAATCAGTATGAATGGTGCCCACAGGCTTTGGGTCTTCAGGTGGGAGGCAATAATGATTCAGACACCCAAATTATTACTACTAATTGAGTGCACACAGTCCGCCCAGTACATACAGAACACAGGTGAAGGCTCAGTCCCTGCCTGGAGGAGACAGACAATCCTGTCCTTACATGAACACCATATGAAGGCTGTTCCCATAGTAAGGTTAGGGCCATGTTTCGTTTTAAGCACACCTTCCCTAAACACTGTGCAATAGTCTCTCTCCAGAACTCTTAGATACAGTTGGGTTTCTGGGGACAAATTTAGAGCTGATTATAAATTGTTGTAACTTACATCTTCCAGTCACTTCACACCAGTTCATAATGCTAGTCTTGACAAACATCAGCATATCAAAACATTAACTACAGAGCCTATTAAAAACATTGTCACCTCTGAATGTGGCCTTCTGAATATAATTGAGTTTCTGGCTGGTTTATCTGTAAGTCAAGGTCAACTCTTGTAAGTATAAGCAAAGTGATACTTACATTGCAGCTATGATTAATAAACCTGGCAAAGTTTCCACACTTTGTGGCATCAATGATGGTGTCATGGTCGACCCTGAACATGTAACTACTCCCAATGCCTTCATCTTCGTATCGTTTCTCTCGCATGTCAGCAATGACCTACCAGGCAAACCAGTTGTCAACACACTCACTTGACAAGGATGGGCAGTAAAGTACAAGGGATTTTACATGTAGCTAATTTAAAAGAGACAAACCAAAGCTATCATTCAGGGTTTAAAAAAAATATTTGACCCCAAGAGAAGACAGGCTTAGAATTCAAACAACAAACATTTAGGAAGGGAATTTCCAAGATCAGGCACTGAATTTCAAATGGGATTCAGCACCTAATTCCCTTGGACTCTCAAAGCCCTGCTTTGGTGTGTTTTAAATCATACACGACAAACCTACATTGAGGACAACACTCCACAGAGCCCCAAGCTTTGCACTGAAAAAGCTTGTAAGACTCTGAAAATGCTATGACCAGCTCATGGGAGGAGGAATAGGCATCCACAACCCTTGACCAGATGTCCCAGTCACTTGCATTCCTTTCATCACATTCAGCTCAGTTTCTTCCTTGACAATACTTCATAAGAACGGCCGTACTGGGTCAGACTAAAGGTCCCTCTAGCCCAGTGTCCTGTCTGCTGAGTGGCCAGCACCAGGTGCTCCAGAGGGGGTGGACTGAAGACAATGATCAAGCAATTTGTCTCCCTGCCAGCCTTCTCCAAACACAGGACAGGGACACCATTCCTTACCCCCTGGCTAATAGCCTTTTATAGGCCTAACCTCCATGAATGTATCTAGCTTCTCTTTAAACTGTTATAGTCCTAGCCTTCACAGCCTCCTCTGGCAAGGAGTTCCACAGGTTGACTAGGTGCTGTGAAAATCTTGTTATTAGTTTTAAACCTGCTACCCATTATTTTCACTTGGGGTACGTCTAAACTACATGGCTCCGTCGACGGAGCCATGTAGATTTGTTTGTTCGGCAAAGGGAAATGAAGCCGCCATTTAAATAATCGTGGCTTCATTTAAATTTAAATGGCTGCCGCGCGGAGCTGACAAACAGCTGATCAGCTGCCGGACCAACTGGATTGGCATGCAAAACCTGCTCTTGGGTTCACATGTGGCCTTTGGTGGCCAGGCTGACAGCTATCCTGCCATAGACGGCCCCGTTCCTCCGTCTAATGCAGAGATCATGGACGTTGGGGGCATTTTCTCCCCCCGCCCAAAACCTGAATAAGGTCCATGATCTCTGCCCTGGAGCAGGAAGGTGCCTGCCTTCTCTGGGCCCTCGCAGGCTCCTGGGAGCTGGCAGACTGCTCCTGGGGAGCAGAGGAGGGCTGGTTCCCAGTGGCTGGCTGGCTCATGTTTTGGGGCCACTAGGTCAGGGGCAGTGACTGCTGGCTCTAGGCTGGCAGGCTTGGAGCTGGCACAGGCACTGTGGCCAGAGTCAACCCCTTTAAGGGCTCCGGGGAGGAGGGTTGGGAGTGGGAGGCAGGGAGAGAAGTGTTCTTGGTTGAGGCTGGAGTGGCCACCAGGGCACCATGGGAAGGCTGGAGGCCCCCCATTTTGAAATAAGTGTCCATACAGCTATTTCAAAATAAGTGCTATTTCGAATTTGGCATCGTTCCTTGTGGAATGAGGTTTACCAAATTCGAAATAAGCGCTCCGCTGTTTTAAATTAATTTTGAAAGCGTGGTTTGGCTGTGTAGAGGCTAAAAAAAAATAGACATACCCTAACAGATTAGTAAGACAGGATTTCCCTTTACAGAAACCATGTTGACTTTTGCCCAACAAATTATGTTCTTCTACGTGCCTGACAATTTTATTCTTTACTATTGTTTAGACTAATGTGCCTGGTACTGAAGTTAGACTTACCGGTCTGTAAGTGCCAGGGTCGCCTCTAGAGCCCTTTTTAAATATTGGCATAATGTTAGCTGTCTTCCAGTTCTTGGGTACAGAAGCTGACTTAAAGGACAGGTTACAAACCACAGTTCTGCAATTTCCCATTTGAGTTCTTTCAGAACCCTTGGATGAATGCCATCTGGTCCTGGTGATTTGTTAACATTAAGTTTTTCTGTTTGTTTCAAAGCCTCCTCTAATGACACTTCAATCCGGGACAGTTCCTCACATTCATCACCCACAAAGGACAGTGCAGGTTTGGGAATCTCCCTCACGTCCTCAGCCATGAAGACTGAAGCAAAGAATTCATTTAGCCTCGCCGCAATGGCTTTATCATCCTTGATTGCTCCTTTTATATCTCTATTGTCCAGGGGCCCCACTGATTTTTTTTTTTAAACTTCTAAACTAAAATCAGACTCTGCATGTGGATTTTAGATAACTTTACCATTTCGTTCTTGAACCAGAAATTTGGTCAGGTCAAAATTTACAAAAGGAGCCCCTGCAAGATACAGGCATGGAACAGCTACAGTTAACACCACACTTCACTGGAGTCTGTCAAGGGGAGGGCTGGAATTCACAGTGCACAAGATTAGAGCACTAGTTTGAGTTGCAGATGTGGGCAACAAAATTTTAGAAGCATCAGTTGATTTTTGTAAGCAGCTGAGTTAGGCAGGGGAAGTAAAGGGGAACTGTGTCGCAGGAACCCACTACTCACGTGACCCCAAATTTGGACTTTAGAGCTCTTAAAGTATTAATCTTTCCAAGAGTAGGGGGACTTTCAGCCACGTCTCATTTGCCTTATACAGACTGTATGTTTTTCAAGCTAAAGGACTGTGTAAGTTTATGGGACTCTATAAAAAGTGACAAATACTGAGACTGTTTGTTTGGATTTAGTCCTGTTTAAGAAATCCTATTCCAGTTTACATTCATCTGGGATTTTAAAACAAATGTTTTGGGGAACAGGGGCTTTAAGCACACCAAGGCTTCGCCGCTCAGCATTAAAGGGACTGGCCCGTCCATCACATGAATATATTTTGAACTTACCTTGTCAAAAATAAATTGGAGTCTTATCTGAGCCTCATTTCCACACACATGTAACTTAACATGAGTGGGATTCTGCACAGTAATCTCACCTTACATGTTACTCTCTGAAATGGTTTCCAGATAATAGGGGGCAGGCAGCAGGAAACAGAGCAAGATAACTGAGCTATGCAGAAAAAAGCCAGAAGGAAAAACACCCGCAACGTAGGCTCTTGTGTGGTAGTCAAAGCCGCAAGGAACCTTCAGTGTTTGCAATTTCACAAAGTGGGAAGATGAATAAACCCAGAGTGAGGTATAAAGAACAATGCTATTGAGGTCAGATACACATTTGATGAAGGAGAGGTCTTCCACACTGACCTGAGTTATAGCAAAGGCCCTGTGGTGGCCCAGGAGGAAATCTAGCTTACCTGTCTGATGTTCTGACCCACATATTCAATCACCATCTCATCAGCTGCAATGGGCTCCATAGCAAAGAGACCCCAGTCATGAATGTGACTCTTGCAGAATTTTAGCTTTTTCTTCCGGAACTGTGTACAAAACAACCCCAAACCACTGTGAGCAAAAAATGAAACAGCAAACCACATACTGCAAATACTCTTTCTTATGTGCTGTGTACTATGTACCATGTCACAAGTGTGACATTTCAGCATGTGACACCTTACTCCACAGTTAAATCAGACAAATGATTACCTTCATGTTAGCTGTGAACAAGAGTGCAGTCTAGTAGTTAAAGAAGGAAAAGTCTTGATTCTTGGGTTCTACTCCTACCCGTGCCCAGATTCACTGAGTGATATTTGTGCAAGTTGGTAGAACTTTCAGGCTATATCTCCTTTGCCCAAGAGTCTAACGGATGGAGTAAGTACACAGTTTTGCTTCAGGGCTTAGCTCCACTATGTTCATTGATTGCCTAGTTTTTGCCTTTTTGCCACTGCTGGTCATGAGTTAAATGCCACATGGTACATACACTGCCTTCTGCCTCATGGGTTTGAACAGTAGGTTGTGGTGTTTGGAACAGTAAGTGAATTTAGTGATCATAGGAGCTGTCAGACAGACAAAGAAAAACAGAAGCATCTCCTATAACAGCACAGACAATAGTGCCAGCTTCCCACAGTGCCTCATGCCAAAGTACCTCAAACTACCAGCTGTTCTGAAGAGACACTATCACTAAGGGGTGAGAACAGGGTAGTGTGCAAGAATTTAAATGTGACCCCTTTTTGCGGGGGCACAGAAGCTTTCTCTCCCCCCTTCCCACCTGCAGGAGTAGTTCACCCTCTCCAACCAGCCCAAGGAGCAGCTCACCCCCCTCCTCCCTTTCAATCCCAGGGGAGGCACTCACTACATCTTTTGACCCCAGAAGGAGCTGCTTGTCCCCCCACATAACTGGTCCCTGGAGAGAAAGGACTGCCCCAGCATCAGGGTTGTGGGAGGGAGAGAAGAGTTCCTCCACCCCCAGCTCCACAGCTTCAGCTCTCTCCCACCACAGCCCCAGAGCAGGGGAAGTACTGTGTGCCTTGCTGACGGGGGAGGAGAGCTGGGCCCCGTTTGTTGTCCCCCCCCTTGCACACACCCCTGGGTGAGAGGACACCTCAGTCTGGAAGCCCATTCAAACCTTCACTGGGATGACAAACAAGGATGCCCAAACATGGAGGTTTCTGTTGATGCCTGTCCACTAGGAGCTGTACAGAGATCACCATCTAATTTTACACAGGCTACACAGCCATCAGATGGTAATGACTGCTGGTAATTACTCATCTGAACTGGATTGGAACCTGCAATTTACAGATGAAAGCTTCTTTGTCCTATTAAAAACCCCCGTGCTTATCCAAATGAAACCACTGGACATACTGAACTAACTAGCTCTTGCTCCCAGACACACTACTATGGATTTATTCAGTTTAACGTGGTAAGGAAATAAATGGCAGCATAGCTAGATTTATACAATCACCTGTTTTGTTATAGATCCGTGGCATATACCTAGCCTTCCCTAGCTTATTCCTAGTGTGGCAGCCCAAGAGCAGGGGGCTACAGAAGCCTGGTCCTATTGGGGTCTCTAAAGGACCCTCCCCCAGCCTACGGTCAGGATCTAAAGAGCCCTAGACACCAAATGATTCCAGGGAATAAAGAAAAAGGGTCAAAGGGCTAAAACAAGGGAACTGGATGGGGACACCGAGCAGAGAACCCTGGACAGTGCCCACTGCTCCTTGAAGGCCTCGAGAGAGCCAGCGGACGCTGCCCATTGGAACTCTTCCCAGATCAGTGAGTGGATGCAACAATGGAAATAGGCCCCACAGTCGCAGGCCCCTCCCCCAGCCAATCTCTGCTGCCTGGTCTTATAAATGGCCATCTTGGCAAAAGCCAAGAGGAGGTTGACCAGGAGGTCCCACGACATTGGGGGGCCACGGATAGGGTGTGCACAGATTAATAGGTGAGGGGAGAAGTGCAGCCAGAACCTCAATAAGAGGTTCTGGAGGAGCCAAAAGAGAGGCTGGAATGA